AGTGAAGACTCATTAATGACAGAAGAAGAACAGCATGCATTAGAAGTTCTTATTCTGGACTCAATATAATTTAATACAAAGTTACTGTATATTGTTGTTACCAAGTATGATTTGACTTTGCTTACGTAATATAAATATATAATATATAAAATAAACAGGAAGTCTATCAAAAGTTTATTCATGTTGGACAGGAATTGAAATACTGTACTGTATATTGTCACTAAGGAGAGGAAAAATAGTAACACAAAGGATGAGATTTGCAGTAAGCATGACATTTCCTGAACTACTGGTAGAAAACTAGTAGTGTTGACTCACTGACATTAATTTACTGCTGTGTTTCATTATTCACCTTGAGTTGTGAAGCCTAGCCAAACATGGCTGTCTACTGTTGTTGGCATTGCTGAGTTAGTATCCCAGAGCTTCTGGTAGACCCTTGAAATGAAAAATGATGGCTGTGGCAAAACCTAAACATTGTTATATAGAGTAAGTCAACACTGAAGTTGTGTTATTGTTATCCCATCACTGTGTGTTTTGGCATTGTCCGTCCATCCATTTTCTAACTTCTTCATCCAATTCAGGGTCATGGGGGAGCCAGTGGGACACCCTAGACGGGACTCCAGTACACAGTACATTGCATAGATACACATGTACACCTGGACAATTTTTCCAAAGGCTGATTGAATTACCAATAGATCTTTGGACTATGGGAGAAAACTGGAGGACCAGGAGGTACTCACAAAGGGGAGAATATACAGTACAACATACGAACGGTACAAATAGCACCTCAGGTCTGAACCCAGGGGAGCCAGTGCTATGAGACATCAATACTAACGACTGTGCCACTATACCACTTTATATAGCACTGTTTTGCAAGAAAATGAGAGATTCTGATTGGCCTACATCAAAACTGTTGGCTCAATAACTCCATGAATGTTTAACTGAGCAATAATGTCGCCCTCAATATGGATCATAGGTGTTCTTGTGTTGAAAGGATTCCTATGCACTCACATTTCCACTTCCACAATGTTTGGGTTGAACAATGAACTGTCTGTGCAGTACCACGATATCTCTACGAGTTAATAATAATAATTGCTTACACTTATATAGCGCTTTTCTGGACACTCCACTCAAAGCGCTTTACAGGTAATGGGGACTCCCCTCCACCACCACCAGTGTGTAGCATCCACCTGGATGATGCGACGGCAGCCATAGTGCGCCAGAACGCTCACCACACATCAGCTATCAGTGGGGAGGAGAGCAGAGTGATGTAGCCAATTCATAGAGGGGGATTATTAGGAGGCCATGATTGGTAAGGGCCAATTGGAAATTTGGCCAGGAGTAAATTTCCAATTGATGCTACACACTGGTGGTGGTGGTGGTGGAGGGGAGTCCCCATTACCTGTAAAGCACTTTGAGTGGAGTGTCCAGAAAAGCGCTATATAAGTGTAAGCAATTATTATTATTATTATTAACTCGTAGAGATATCGTGTTTCAACCCAAACATTGTGGAAGTGGAAATGTGAGTGCCAGGACACCGGGGTTACACCCCTACTCTTTTCGAGAAGCGCCCTGGGATTTTTAATGACCACAGAGAGTCAGGACCTCGGTTTTACGTCTCATCCGAAGGACGGCGCCTGTTTACAGTATAGTGTCCCCATCACTATACTGGGGCATTAGGACCCACACAGACCGCAGGGTGAGCGCCCCCTGCTGGCCCCACTAACACCTCTTCCAGCAGCAACCTTAGTTTTTCCCAGGAGGTCTCCCATCCAGGTACTGACCAGGCTCACACCTGCTTAGCTTCAGTGGGTTTCCAGTTGTGAGTTGCAGGGTGATATGGCTGCTGGCAGTTGCCTTTTGTAAGATCTGTCCAGGGCCATTTTTCAGCATTTTGTATATTAAAAACTCTACAATGATTGTCACTCTCTGCCTGGGTTGCCTGACAACCAATGACATTGTAGCTTGTCAATAAAATACTGTATTAAGTACTATTTTAATTTTTATGTAAAAATCTTAATCTAAAATGAGTGATGCAATCCCATTGTATACTTGTATACTGCTCTTCATTTCCATAATTAGTTTCTATATTGCAGACAAATACATGAACTGTACACAGTATACTGAAGATATAACATTTGCAGTCCTCTGCCATGTTGTTTCTTGTAGTTTCATTTTGATTGTTAAAGACCAGGTTGCTTGCTGGAATTATACATTTCAGCCGCCATTTCCTACATCATTATGAGTGTTTTGTTTCGTATTCTCTGGGCCACATGCTTGACTAAAAGGCAGTGAGTGATAACCTGTGGAATGACTTCATGAGGTGTGAGAGAGAAAAGCTCTGATTTCTGATGGCTTGATGAGCAATGTCTACTAAAGCCATAGTGAGTTTCATATGGAGAGAGTGTCTGTATCGAATAGCTTACTGTCCAAGATCAACAACATCCGGGATCACATTCTCTCCACTACACATACAATTTCCATACCTCCTCCTTCCTTATCCAACTTCCCTGGTTCTCACTAACCTCTCTCTTCTTGACTCCGCATCCCTCAATAAACTAGTTACACACATGAAACCCACCACATCTATTTTAGATCCCATTCCCACCACTTGATTTCAGTCCTGTTTCTCTTCTCTCTGTCCCATTGTCCTCAATATTATAATTGAATCCTTGAGCACTGGCGTTGTACCAACGGTCCTCAAAACTGCTGCAATTACCCCCGTGAAAATCTTAACCATTTTAACCTTAATCTTAATCTTAACCTCCAACTTACCCTTTCTTGCAAACATTCTAGAAAGTACTGTCACATTTCAGTTACATAACCACTTCATAGCACATAACCTTTTCAAACCCATCCAATCTGGCTTCCATCAACTTCACAGCACAGAAACTGCCCTGGTTTTAGTTTTGTTCTACTTAATGTTTCAATAGGCTGGAGTGTGTTATTTTACTGGTAGTGTGAGAGGGCAGTAAGTTCAGACAAGATGACAGTTCTTGTCTGAACTACATGCTTTAGTCAGCTGTGGTGAATGTCCTGCTATTCTCTGTCACCTGACAAAGTGGTCCAAGACAACTTTAAAAACCAGGATACTGAGGCACCTACTGTACGTCAGTCTGGAAACAGAAAGCAGATCCTCTGATATGCAAACTGGACCAGAAAGAGAGAGAGGGAAGGAAGGACATGGCCAACAGACCAAGTGACAGGCAGAACTGAGAACTCTGTGAGTTTTGAAAGTATCAGAAAGAGAGACTTTGTTTTAAAGTGGCTTAATTTCTTGGCAAAGCTTATATTGAGGCTGACAACGAAGTCTAGCTAGAATCTGAAAGACAAGCTTAGGTATAAAAGATGTGTTTATATTTGTGATTTCTGGACATTCGGTTATTTTGCCTCATGCTGTTAATAAAAGATAGTTTTACTTTACAACTGTTTTGTGTGTCTGTTTTACCTAAAACTGCCTGTAATTGTTCCTGTTTATGACATTCTAGTCCAGGGTGTATTACAGTAGAGCTCTACTTACTGTATGGTATACGTCAATGCCCCAGTTTACTCTTTAGATAAAGCAAATGTTACTTAAATCAGAAGTGGCCCTGTCTTAACCACTATGTGATCGCATAGAGAATTATATTCCCTTATTTTCCTTTGCTAAATCTTTCATTGAGGAAGGACTCCTTATATGCTAATCACATATAAGGTGTAAGAGAGAGATCCTAACAGTCAAGAGGCTAGAGAGAGACAAACGAATCTTTCCTCTTTCTATAGGAGGAGAGAAATTAAATGATGATGAAATGTCATTAAACAATAAATGAAAAAAGCTTTGGAACCCTATAGTTATAATGATTAAACACCAATATAACATACATCTAAAATATATTGTAAATATATTAAACATTGGAGAGAATTATCTTTTTTTTTAATCTGTACATTTCATTACAATACATTGTACTGTTCAGTAAAGAAGCACAAAATAAAAAAGTCAAAAATAAAAACAATAGAATCACATGGATGCTTATCTGACATGATTGCAGGAGGGGTTCATCAGAATTTTCAGTGTAAAAGTGTGAGATGATATGCTGACGTTAGCACAGCTGCACAAAAGCAAAGTGAAACTGAATGCAAAATAGAGTCTCGATGGATGCTGGTCAAGACCACAATATGCTTAATCCATGCTTTTTGTGTGTGGAAAGAATTTTTCGCACCTGTTACTCATTACATGTGTAACCAAACTTGAAAATCTTAGTATGTCCTTTAAAAACTACATTAACTGCAAAGATGTGATAGATAGTAATCAAAAATAGCCACTTAAAATTAATAACTAAATCTCTGTAAAGAAATGTAAAATTTACAAGGTACTGTATTTGGCTCCATGATCCAACAGTAGACAGAAATTAATATAAACACCATATGAGATTGGTATTGGTATTCTCTAAAATGAAACTAAACTTTATTTTGACTTTCTTTTACTATTAAACAAAAGTAAACCATCAACAAAATTTGGTTTTAATTACTTATACAGTATGAGTTTCATGTAGATTTTGTTTATATCCTTCTTTCACCATGAATTGGTTATGTTTTCTTTGTGGTCTGTAGAGATGTGATTTTGAAGGTTTCTTATTTCCATAATATGCTTAAAGGTAGCATTTCCTGTTTTCCTTCGCTTTGCAAAACCATTGTCTGACTACTAATGCCCTCCTTATTTGAATCCAAACTGTTTATCGGCCTCTTTACTAAAGTCTTTTGCAACCACAACAAGGCTTTTCAAATCATGAATTAAGCTGTCCTTAATGGGAATATCCCATGGCAACTGGCACAAGAGGCCTCAAAAATCAGTGAATGTTTTATTGTACGCCCAGTGGGTATTGGCACCAAACCCCTGTGGCACAAGCACAGAGGAGTATTCTTTAAAGTTTATTTTGTTTCCCTGCTATTGTGAACATGGGTATCCACAGAATCCTGTGTTCCTCAGTGTGTGTGCTTGATTGTGTATGTGTATTTGCCTGTGGGGTGCATTGTACTGAAATACTGCTAGTGTTACACTCCTCCTCAAATTGGCAGATTGATTTCCTTTCATGCACTGGGACTTCAGTGAGGGTGAGCAATAATCTAATTAGACAAGAACTCAAAGCTTATTATTTGTTGCTCAAAATCAACAACACAGCCTATGGGAAGGATCTTCCCTTGCTAAAAACTTTCCAGCTTTAATGTTTTTCAGTGTTTCCTCTGCCTGTCGTGCGGATAAGAGGTTTGGGACTGTTGAACATCACCCTAACAGAGGAATTCCAGTGATCTTCATGCTGCACGGGAGGAAGATAATACTACTTGCACCTTTTCCAAAGAAGTCAAAAACTACAAACATACAGGTACTGTACTGTGTCTTTCTCCATTTTTCAGATGAACAACATAAAAACAAGCATCTTAAACACTACTACACCCTGACAGCATACATACTTTTATAATCTGCTTAAAAAGCACATGGTACTGCATATGAGGAACAATGGATACTGTATATTGCAGAGCAGTAAATAAAATAATGAATTAGTAATTGCCAATACTTTTAAACTTGAAAAATGAGTAGACAAGCGAAATATTTTTCTTTGAGGTTACAAAATAACCCTTAATGAGACAAATAATTTTAAATAATAATTGTATTTGTAATTTATAATTGTAAATACCTTTTTAAAAAGAAACAACATTTTGTATGGTCTGTGGGATTCGGTGAAATTTTAAAATGTGGTAAAAGAATGGTATTTAAGATAAATGGCAAGAGCTTTATATAGTACATTTTTTTTAATCCAAGGTGAGTCTTATGAATAGTATATGGCATTAAATAGCACAAATACCGCATACAGTATGAATACAATGACTTATCATTATGTATTTGGAATAAAGTTTTTAAAATGATTGGAGTCAGAAAAGGCCCCAAATTCAAAACACTAAGATGATTAAATCCCTAAAAATTTTGAATACAGACCTCAATGTTCATGGAATATCTCATCTTTCTGTTGTTTATCCCAGCTAAAAATTTACTTCAGGCTGGTCTATTTGTACTATTGTTTAAGAAAGAAGGTACACTATGAAGCAGCTGCACACACGAGGACAACATTAGTTTGTTTTATGACTCATCTTAGTTCAACATATTAAGATAATATTTGTCTCTCATTAAAGTGCGGGATAGATAAAGACAATAGACAGCCTTAAAGTCAGTTATCATTCCAGAAAATTGGTGTTGTGATCTTACAATACCAGTGGTTCATTGTTTAATGTTCTTAGAGGTGGTGGTGACCATGGGACCTTCACTGTATGCCTCTTATTTGTTCTAAGAAACCAGTTCTAAACTACTTGAGCAGGGTTTTCAAACTGCTTACATTAAGAGTATTTTAAGATATCCACAGATCTGTCACATGCACTGCAGGAAGAATATCAACTTATGTCTTCAGACATGTTTGTGTCCCTCAATGTAGACTTAACAAAATGAGGAATTATTTATATCATTCAATAATACTTTATTGTCTGATTCCTCAGATTTTTTTATTCAGACAGCTACTGTATGTTTAACACACACAGAGAAACTTACAAAAAACATGCAAACAGCACACACAAAGATTGCATTCAAAATATATAATTTTACATTATATAACATACAGTAAGTATAGAAATAGATATAACATAATATTACATAAATGACATCAACCAACATTACTACACACTGGACATAGGTTTAATCACCGTAAGCCCCTATAATTGCATAACACCCCATCATTGTTAACCCATACTCAATCAATAAATTAGTTTATACTAAATAAGTAACGTTTTATTGGCAAGTGTAAAAGAGTAATGTTTAATTATATGGCCTTTGCTTAAAAGAAAGCTTCTGACCATGCTGTCATTGGGTTAGCTCTAGCAAAATCGTATCATATACTTCTTCCCATAAGCATTTCTTCAAGTGCAATTTAATCTCAGCCTTCATTGGACCTTGTAGAATATTTTATCTCAATTTGCAATATTTTGCATGCAAAAGACATAATGGCTGGAAATTGATAGCAATTTCAGAGTTGTGGATGAGGTGGAACAACTAACAGCTCTGCAGGATTGTCACAACAGCCATATCTGAAATCATGGTAGTCACATACTGTATAGTGCTCTCAATACATACAGTACTTTGGTAAGGGCTGGGTATATCTTGAGAGGGTAAGGGGTATTCTTTGCCTGGAGCCACCATTGAAGTGTTACATTCAAACCAATTGTTGACAATTTTTGCATGTATTTTTTAAAGGAACCTGATAATACTCAATCTTAAAGTTAATCATTTTAGTTTGAAGTTGCAAAATAACATGCTTCAAGATTAACAAAGAACCTAAAGAAATACATCTTAAACTTAATAAGAATCAACTTGTAATAGAGAAAACAATTATTTAAAACATCAATTTTACACATACAGTACCAGTCCTGTAATGGCTACAGATCCACTACCACTACTTAAGTATATTTAAGGTTCAATCACCTTTTTATGCACCAGATGCAATTATTCCACCTGGATAATCTTAAGAATATTGTATAATTAATACTTGTAAGCTACAGCCATACAAAACCTGGAAAATATTCTTATGTATACCTATAGCAAGAAAAACTATTGAAGACCTATGGATAGTTTTAAAAATCTAAAAGCCTCTTTACATTTACTGTAGTTTACTCACAAATCCTGCTGTTTGTGTAACACTCACGCTTGCCGGTGCTAAAAAAGCCAATATACTGTACTTTTGCTTAAATCCTTTTATCCACTGCATCACTGGGAAAAATTAGTCCAATAAAAATATTGACATTTCTTGAGAAGTAAGTTCTTTGATTTTTAGACGAGGGATGAGAAGGTTAAATAAAAAATGTAAAGAAACTGTAAGAAACATGAGAAATAAGTATGATTAATCACAAGACCTTAGCAGTCATTCTTTTTCGAAAAATAAATTATTCATGTCGATAACTATATATAAAATAGAAAGAAATAGATAAAAGTAGCATCATGAATAGAGTTCATTTTTGCTTATCTTGTCTTTGTTCTAATGTTCTTTGTTGAAACCAAAATAACAAAAAAGATCTAAAAACTGAATGGTGTTCAGAGTTTCAAAACTTTGAAGACCCTCAATTACAGTATTGCCTCCCAATAGATTTTTTTTAGTTTCTAATAGGATTAGCTCCTTCTAAATTTTAATGAGCAATCTTTCATGAAATAAGTGCAGTGTGACTGATTCAATCCTGTTATATCCAGTGCAGAATGTTAAGTAGGACATCATATCTTTCCTGTCACAAATGTGCTGTACTTACAGTATGTTTGCTGTGACACCGAATGTAATTTTTGCATACTGTATTAATGATGCTAAGAAAATACATTATTTGACAATTAAGCAATTTAGTTCAACTAAAAAGTTCAGCGTTATTCTTATAGATGGTACAGTATGTTATGAATCCTGTGTATTACTGTATTATTAGAGCAATTTACAGTAGGTGGCGATGAAACCTGTGTTGCGAGACTTGTTGAAAGTACTTGTGAAAATTAGCCCATGGCAGAGATTAAGGAACAATAAATAGATTTATATATTTTGTAAAACTGGTTCCCTTCCTTGCAGTAGCCAAAGTTTGGTAGTTTGGCCTTTTCTGTCTGTAGGATGAGTTCCCACAGTCTCCAGCTCAATTTCTCTAAGGTTTCAATGAACACTAAGCTGCTTCAGCTCCATGTGATGGCCATAGTTAACTGACTGCTCAAGGAAGTATTCTTGAGAATTAGAGTCTTCCCGGGATCAGCCATGTGTTCTCTAAAAATAGATTATTTTAAAACCATGATGCACACTGCAGATGTTGTGCATTTAGGAGCTTAAAGAACCATCTGGAAGCAGGTAGTACTTCCCTAATGATGAAAATCCTGTATGGGGGGGGGTGCCAGTCCCTAATTCTTCTGTCTCTGTGTATTGTCTTCGGGAGTTTAAAAACATTTAAAGTTTTGTTAAAATGCTCAATGAGACCATCCAGTTGAGAATGGTACACTGAACTATGTAACTGATGAATTTTAAGAAACAGACACAATTTCTTTGGAGCATCCTTCCGAAAAACTATACATTCTATATAATTATGGTTTAAAACTAATTTTATTCAGGTCTAATTTTGTCTTTCCTGATATGATTAAATGAGGTTTCTGTATAGTACCTACAGTACGTTTCTACTGATGACATCCTTAAAACATTTTTAAAGCTTACACAGTTCAAAGATGTATTCATAATGCAGAGTGAACAGGATTAAAAATGACAGTCCCGTTTTTAAATCAAATCCTTTGTACATCATTTATTGCATTTAAACTGTCTGTAGGTATTAAATCCAGACATATATTATATAAACTCTTGGGATTTGACAGAATGTTTCTGTGCCTTTGCAGCTCATGCCTACGTTTGATGTGACAGCTGAAGCCTGAAGGACAAACAGTGAATGTGGGGGTTTGGAAAACGGCCCTGAGAACTCTAGGAGTATTGTTCATTTCCGGCAGTGCAGACACAACCTAGGTGACAGGCAAAACGCATTGCCATGGGAAAGACTGGGCAGAGCACTGTGGAAATCAGTTCTCCCACTGAAGTCAAGCAGGCCATACCATTTGAGGCACTGCATCCCGTACCTTCCAACAATGCCAACCAAGGACTCCCTGACCGGGGCACCTGGAAGGGCAGATTTGACTTCCTGCTGTCCTGTGTGGGGTATGCTATTGGACTAGGCAATGTCTGGAGGTTTCCGTACTTATGCGGCAAAAATGGTGGAGGTGAGAGTAATGACAAACTTACTAATACGGTGCATGAAAATATTGCTTAGAATGCTTTGTGATTGTTTGTATACAGGATACAGTATGGCATGATAAAGCCAATAGGTAATGGAATATCTTGAAAAAGAATGGAAAATACGTATGTTTAGGGAATCTAATCCAAATGCTGTAACAATAGTTCAAGTCACAAAAGGGTTTTTAAGATAGAATTTGTGTATTGAAGTGTTATTAGACACACATTTTATACATTTACTTATAGTAATGAAAAGAAAAATAAAGAATAAAAAATAAAGAAAATGCATTTTATTTACAGGAATTATGATATTTGATTAATATACATTAAGATAAAATAAATATTATATATATTATATTTACATCTCTTTATATTTTATGATGAAGTTTATATTGAAATCTTTCCAGGATGTATTATGCTACGGCTGTGCATTTCCCTACCATTTGCTGCATTCATTCCATATGTGGACTGAAAAAACAAGAAACCAAAGACAGAATAAAAGAGAAAATACGCTATGTCTCTCATCCACCTGATGCAGTATTTCTCTATACTGTATGTGGATCATGCTCCAAACAGCAAGCAAGGAAGAGAAAACAAGAGAACAGAAGATAAGAAATATGAATCTTTCCCCTGGCTTCTCCATAAGCTTGGCACCAAGGAAAGGTCTTTTACTCTGAAGTTCTTATCAAGCACACTGTTGTCTTTCACCATGCTTCTGCATTTGGCAATACATTCACTCAGCACACAGCAAGACAGTAAGACCCCTGGTGCCACTACTACCACCCCGGGTCCATTAATTCGACCTTCTTCCCATGTTTGTTTCTTCATTCAAAATTCTTTCTCAGTCTGTATCTGTTTATCTCTATTCAGCCACACCAGGAATTCACAATTAGCCAGCACTTTCCTTCACAATGCAATTGTCACACTTACTATACTTGTTAAACCACAGGATGAAATTATCATGCCAGCTCTTCTGCATCTTCAGAATCTTACTCAGTTGCAAAGATCTTATACTTCCAGCCTCATGAGAAGCTTGACTACATTCAGCTGTATATTTCCACCTTCCTGTCAGTTTTCTGCAAAAGCCACTTCTGTTCCTGCTTTGTCACCTCAACTATGCTATGCTAATTATACCCCACAACCAGGGCCGGCTCGTCCATATAGGAGAACGAGGCAATTGCCTAGAGCAGCATTTGAGCAAGGGCGGCCAAATGTACTGCAACAGACTTGGGCTCTTGGGCTTGTGCTCCTGCCCCAGTTCGTCCCTCACCGCATGGGCTCGAACCCGGGTCTCCAGTGTAGCTCACAGGGAACTTGCTGGCTAAGCTAAAGGAGACCTCCTTTAGCCCAGGTGCCCAGCTTCCCTGCTACTGTATGTGCAGGGGAGGGCTGTGTCGTCACCAAGCTGCGACCGCCTCACACAACCTGTATGTCGGCCGTTCGCTACTGTACCATTTTAAAGTATTCTGCGTCCTATTAGAAACTTGACCGCAGAGCACGTTATCCTACAAGCTCTCTCTAATCACTCTAAATGACCGAGGAATGTATCAGTCCTAACTTGGGCCGCCCACCCCCGAGCCTGTGGCACTGGTGCCAATTTCGATCAACTGGAGAGATTTTTCGTGTGGACAGCGAAGTGCAGCATGTCAAAATGACCAAAACTGTCTGGCTGCGAATACAAAAAGAGAAGACTGTCAAAAGAGCAGGCACACCAAAAACAGAAAGACTCATTCTTAAAATACATTGCCTCAGAATCAGACTCAGTTAGCTCTGTTACAAGCAACTGTGGATGTAGAGGGTTCTGCTTCCAAGGATAGAATTAGCGGCAACTGCGTCTCAACCAAAACAGAGACTCACCAGCCGCTAACATTACAAGCTGAGGAAAATCTGAATGATCCCAGTAAGTGGTCGACAACAAGTAACCAAGGACTTCGAGACATTTTGATACAGAGGGGACTGCATCAATTCAAAAGAATCGATTTTCCCAGGGACAGTAAGCACAGAAAATGTTCCACGTGTAATTATAGTTGGACTTTAGTAAATGGGGAGAAACTGGTGAGGCCATGGCTCATTTATTCAGTTAGCAAGGATGTTACATTTTGCGTTTGTTGTAAACTTTTTGGTGAAAGTGAGAGAAAATCAGCTCTTGCAAAAGACGGTGTCAAAGACTGGGAAAATCTTGAGTGCCTATGAAAAGTCGAATGAGCATATAGAATGCTTTCATAAATGGAAAGAGCTGACACAAGGTTGGCGGCGTCTCAAAACACTGTAGATGCGCAAAATCAATAGAAAGTATTAGCCGAGACAATGCATTGGCAACAAGTGTTGTGACGTTTGGTTAGCCTTATAAGAGTAATGGCCATGCAAAATATAGCATTCCGTCGTAGCACAGACAGACTGATTGAGCATGATAATGGAAATTTCCTGAAACTTATAGAGACGATTGGCCTTTTTGATAATGTTATGGCTGAACACATTAGGAAAATAACTTCTAAAGAAACGCATGTTCACTACTGGGGTAAAGGAATTCAAAATGAAATCATAGCAATGCTACTGTAGCATTCCAGATTAAGCACAAAACTCTTACGATGCTCAATAATTTTAGATTGCACGCCAGACGAGTGTAGAATCTGACAGACGACAATGATCGTGCACTTTTTTAAAACACAGAAAAGCAGCGTGAAGATTAGAGAGCATTTCTAGGAATTCAGAGCTTACAGATTCTACAAGAGCCAGCATGACGGACATTATGATCAAGAAACTTTGCGAGTTGGTGATTGATATTATGGACACGAGAGGTTGGCTGAAAATTGACAGCAATTTTGACCAATTAGATCAGCTTTTTTGAAGCGGGCAGATTCAAAATTCGATTGCAATAGCCAATACATTTCAGTTTCTTCCAGGACTTTAGATGAGTCAGGCTAGCCTTTTGTGGATATACAGCTGCTCTTACAAAGGCTTACGGAGGCTCCAAAGAAGGTACAAACATGGGATATATTATTTTTTTGCTGGTTTTTGCGGTCATGTTTTGCTGGCTTATTGATTACTTATTGATACACATGTGCTGAAGTGTGTCTTCCGATAAATATGTTTTATTGCAATCGATTGCCGTGGTGCTTTTCAGTTCTGAAAACAGTTTTGTGAAGCTATTTTCGATTGATATAAGGTGTTCTGTAATGGTTTTGTGGTGGTGTTTGTCAAACACGATGAAATGAGACGCGCGTCCCAATGCAAATAATAGACTACCCCGGGCCTGAGGCTGGAGTAGTGGGAATGGGCGGCACAATTGTGTTTCACCTAGAGTGGCAGAATAGCCCCGTCCACAACCGATCTTTTATTTCATATCTTCTCAAATTTGCATCTTCAGTGTCATGAAGAAAAACTTCAGCTGAAGCATTCATTTCTAAAAGATTGTAAGGATTATCTGTCTTCTTATTATGTGGTTCGTTCTCTCCAAAGACTCTCTCCAGTTTTTTACAGATGCAGTGACTTTCATTGGCTTTGGAGGCTAACATTGAGGCCAGTGGTTCACAGTACCTTATCCATCTGAGTTTGCCTACATCTCTCTTTCTAATTATTCATCTGCTTTTCAAACTGTTTCCAAATGTTGTAGCTGCTTCTTCTGGGGGCCACAGTTGAAAACAAATCAGTTCTTATCCATTGATGAGATCATCTTTTCAGTTTATCATGAAATTCATCCATTGTCTTAAACGGCTTTCTCTTATAAATCAAGTTCTAATTTTTGCAGTGCTTTTCAACAGTGTTGCTGATTTTCATTCATACTTCCATTTTCAGAAGTTTAAGAACTATCCCTGGCTTCTAACCCTGTCCAATTCCATATTATTCAGATATCAAAATCCTCAAACCACTCTTTTTATCTCTAATTCCAGCAGGCTCTAAATACTATTCTAGTATTTAGTTACGCTGGAGTTACACCTTGCACCCCCAATTCCTACTGGACCACCTGGAAATGTTTTCATTGTTTTTACCTCTCCTCTAATCTAAAGGTTTACTTATTTTGATATAGCCAATCTTGTCCTTCATCTTCATTGCTGTGATATCGGGATCCTGTGACCAATAGTAATAATAAACTTTATTTGATATAGCACCTTTAAAGGTTTTGACAATATGCTGCACATGTGGGTCGAATGTTAAGCCAGAATCTAATATTACCCCAAGGTTTTTCAATTTAACCTAAAGCTCAAGTACAGAACCATCTACAGATAGGGTTACAGGATTGGCTTTACGAAGTTGATGGGGGGTGCCAATAAGCATGACTTCAGTCTTGTCACAGTTAAGATGTGAAAATCCAATATATCCATCAGGATGTTATTTTCTTCCTTCATCCACTTGCAGAGTTGCTATCCCTGCTTTTTGATGCAAGGCTGCTAGAACCATCCTGCACCATTGATGACCTATTAAAGAGAACAGAACACAATTCACAAACCTAGTCTGGTCAACTGGTCGCCAGCTGGTAAAACTTACAGAGCATGGGGGGGAGTGAAACAGGACATTCTAGAGTGAAGAGAATAGCTAAATGGTCATTTCAGTTCAGTGCTGTTTCACTGACGTTGTAAGCCTTTGAATTTTAAAACAGTGTTTTGTTTGCCTCTCATTTGCTCTGCATACCAGTCCATTAAGAGCCAGCACCAATCACTGTGCCACATGCGATAGTCCAATATTTTGACTGTATGAGCCTCCTGTTCTGTCGCTGTGACATTTGGCACACTCCTACTGTTTAACCACTGTTATTATTGGACCAAGGACACTGTTCCAAAGAACTGTCACAAATAATTAATTTTAAAAAGATAAAAATTTCCTCTTTAACGCATCCTTACATTTGCCAACACAATTGTATCCATGATTCCTTGATATTCCTGCTTTCCCGCATACTAAAGACACTACATTCATTAGCTGTATAGCGATCATAAAGATATACATTAATCTTCATTATTAATAAATTACACTTTTATTCATCAACATGTAT